TAAACTTCCCATTTTTCGTGAGTCTTTCCGTGATGACGAGGATAGAGTCGTATTCTATTCCTGTTAACGGGTCCTTGGAGGGTGGAAGCTTGACGATGAAGTCCAAAGCTATTGATTTCCACGCTCCTTTTGGTACTGGTGTCGACTTGAGTTGTCCGTATGGCAGATGCCTATTGGATTTTGACTTGCTGCAAATGTCGCACTCTCTGACCACTGTCTCTACCTGCTTCCTCATACCTGGGAAGTAGTAGTGTCGAGTGATTCGTTCGAAGGTTCGTGTTACTCCCTGATGACCGTGTGCTGGTAACGAGTGTTGTTCTTGCACCAGCGGGCGTCTCATTTGACTTGGGACATACACTAACCCTTTGTATCGAATCAATCCTTGTTCGTCAATGGCGAAGTCGCCTTCGACTTTGGACAAGACTCGCTTGGCGCATTCGTCTGTTGCGTAAGCTTTCTTGAGTCTTTCCTCGAGTTCTGTATCTTCGATGACTGAGATCGTCGCTAGTAACTCGTTGTACTGTATTCCTGCATCTGTTTTCTTCAGAATTGCTCTAGGTCTTTCTTCCTTTGGGCCGGCGTAGTCGGTCCGTCTGCTGAGAGCGTCTGCTCTTGCATTCTCGGAGCCCTTGCGATAGGTTATCATGAAGTTGTAGGCTGCGAGGGTTTCTGCCCAGCGGACTTGTCTGCGGTTTAAAACCTTGGTCGTGGTGAAGTATATGAGGTTCTTGTGATCCGTCCATACCTGCACAGGGTAGGTGGATCCCTCAAGATATACTCGCCACTGCTCAAAGGCAACGACAATAGCCAGTAGCTCCTTGTCGTGGATGTCGTAATTGAGTTCCGCGGGTGACAGTTACCTAGAGTAGTACGCGATTGGTTTGAACTTACCGTTCTCGTCTGGTTGATTCAGACATGCTCCAATTGCGAAGTCAGAAGAGTCCGTTTCGAGGATGATCTTCTTTGCAGGGTCAAATGTAGCAAGGATAGGTGCTTCCGTGAACTTCGTCTTAAGTTCCTGGAAAGCAGCCTCTGCCTTGTCCGTCCATTTGAATTCGAGATCCTTTCTGGTAAGCTCTGTGAGTGGTTGAGCTACCTTGGAATATCCCGAGATGAATCTTCGGTAGAAGTTGGCAAAGCCTAGGAAGGCTTGCACCTCCTTGACCATGGTCGGTGTTGGCCATTCCAACACTGCCGTTACTTTTGCTTGGTCCATCTTGATGCCGTGCGTTCCAATAATGTAACCCAAGAATTCGACTTGGTTTTTATGGAACTCGCACTTCTCTGGTTTGAGGAGTAAGCTGTACTCCTTTAGTTTCTTCAGGACGAGTTTAACATGCTTGACATGCTCCTCCTTGGTTGCTGAATACACCAGGACATCGTCTAAGTAGACAATGGTAAAGATGTCTAAGTATTCGTGCAAAGCATCATTCATCAGTCGTTGCATGGATGCGGGTGCATTTGTTAGCCCAAAGGGCATGACTTGATACTCGAATAGGCCATAGCGGGTGCGGAATGCTGTTTTCCACTCTTCCCCAGCCTTGATTCGGATCAGGTTGTATGCTCCTCGCAGATCTAGCTTACTGAAAATCTTTGCTCCTTGAAATCTATCGTGTAGTTCGTTGATTAACGGCAGGGCATACCTGTCCTTGATTGTGATGTTGTTCAACGCTCGATAGTCCACACATAACCGTAGGGAGCCGTCTTTCTTTGGTACGAAAAGCACCGGACTTCCTGCTGGTGATGTGGATGGTCTGATGAATCCTTTCGCTAGGTTATCATCGATGTACTCCTTAAGTACCTTCAGCTCCTTTTCCGATAGCTGATATATTGGTCCGAACGGTGGACTCTTGTCTTTCTCCAAAGGTATCTCGTGATCCCATGGTTGGTGCTTAGGAAGCGCCTCGTTCTTAGGGCCTTCCTGGAATAATTGCTCCTATTCCTTGTACTCCACCGGTATACTCGTCGGTGAGGATGCCTGGGCTAGGTCATCGAGCTCGGAGGTTGCACATAACTCCTTCCGGCCCTGGGAGGGTTTCTCCCGTTGTCGCGTGTCCGTCCGTTGTTCACACGCGCACTGGCTCATCACAACTTTCTCGTTCCACCAGTCGATCTGGGGGTTGTGTTTCTTGAGCCATGGCACACCAAGGATGCACGCATGGTTGTCCATGTGCACGATGTCAAACTGAATCGTTTCCTTGTGCCCATGTAGCATGACCATTTCCAATGGGACCGTTTCGTGGGTCACCATTCCTTCATTAGTCGAGATGGGCTCTCCATCTACGACCATTAACGGGTATGGTTCGGCTTTCATTGTTGTTTTGAAGCCTTGCGTGTCTGCTACTTTCTTTGTCATAAAGTTGCCCGTCGCTCCTGAGTCAATCATTGCTCGGAGGTGTCACTGTTGTATCTTAGCGACCACATATAGTTGCATGCTGCCCGTCGTGGCGCATAGCTGGTCTGTACTAGGCCTCTTCGTGTCGCTCGCCGGTGGCCTACCGTCGAGGACTCCTAGTTTTTTGACTCGTCCGAGGAAGGATAGTATTCATCCGCTTCCAATGGTGGTCCTTGGGGAGATCGTTTCCCTCGCTCTTCTGCTTCGTCTAGCAGATGTGGGTATTTCTCGTATACCTGTTCGCTTTTGATAGGCAAGTCCCCTTCAGACTGGCTTCGCCTGAGGGCGTGAACTTGCTCTGCGTCTCTGAAGTGTATCCTGGGCGAGGATCGGGGAAACAACTGATTCTGGTGTTTCTTTTTCCAGTGGAGCTTGCAGTCATCTTCGCTGCAATACTCCCAGTAGACATACGCGTGCCAGGGATGATCAGTCTCTGTTGCGTCTGTCGTTGATAGTTCCCGCTGTCCTCTCACCCATGCACTATCTTCCCTCGGAGGCGTGGAGAACGTGTCTAGTTGCTCCATGGCTCTCCTTTCGATGCGTGGAGTGGGTCTCGCATTTTCCCGTCGGAGCATACCTCTGGCTTTCTCGTCGTACTTCTCCAGGGCTCTCCTGCGGTCCTGGTAGTAAAGTTCGACGCTTTTCATATTCTTCAGTTTAGCCATATGCTCGACATCCTTCTCCAGTTCTTCCGCTTCTTGGGCTTCCAACTTAGCTACGTCTGGGGACGTGCCAAGCAGCCTGTGGGTATTCGTTACTTGGTCGTAGTATCTCCAGAGGTCATCCTTGCAGTCGTCCACCTTGCACTCTAACGGAAGTCCCTGTAACAGGTTCCCGTAGATGCCCTTAAGCGTGGGGATTCTCCTCTGGCCGCTGGGCTTGTCTCGTTCGGCCCTAATCTTCGCGTGGGCGTGTTTTGCCATGCGTCTTACTACGCTCTTGCACCGTGGACTCATTGGTTCCGTAGGTGCGAGTTCATCGAAGGTCTCCTGTTCCGAGACGGTGAACGATTCCGCCTCCGACCCTTCATCTGAGCTCTCGTCTTCTGGGGTGCTTTCGCCGTTTATTCCCCAGTCCTGTTTGCTCACAAACGTTGCATTCAACTGTCCTGTCCAGGTGGCATTGAGTTGTTTGCCGACTTTGCGTCCGCCGTTCCCTTTCTTTGGCTGTCTGCAGTCTCGGGCCATGTGGCCTGGCTTGTCGCAGTTAAAACAGAGTCGTTCCTTGAATTGTCTGTCTTTCTTAGGGTCACGGGGTCGTCCAGGTTTGAACGTGGCATCGAGTTCCATTGGGTCCGACCAACGGTTGTCTCGCGGGTGTTGATCCCGTCGTCTGCCCTCGTTTCCCCGGTAGGGGTAACTTTTCTTGGGCTAGATTTGGATCTAAAGGGGCGCAATCATGAGTGTCCTCTTCTTTGTGAACATCGTCTCAACCTTGAAAACGAATCTAAGTCATTTCCTTGGCTATCTCAGTATTAATAAGTATCAACAGAATGAATATCGCTGTGACGATAACAAGATGCAATGAAAGGGTCCGAAATCGAGGCCGCCTGCATGGAAAGTCAAACGTCGCCGCAGGAGAAACAATAACGAAGGTAACGACGGCAGATAAGGGGCATCAAAATTGTGACAAGCGAGACAAATAAGAGAAGTGAAGTGCTACAGTGGCTTGTTAGTGAGGCCAGAGTTAATAAGTGGTGCCAGTATCTTACCTCCCATAACCCTTAGTATTCATCGACGAATCTTTGGTGGTGATAGCCCATCGCAAAAGCCCATCAAGCATAATCAGTAGGGAGAATGGTGTATCGCACCGAAACTTGACCCAGAGGTGCAGGTGGATTCTTGCCGGACGCACTTAGACATGTTTGGTTTTGGTGACAACAACGAAGTGACTTCCAAACTGACGACAACATTCCAGGAATCTGTAAGACGGTGCTTTGGGTCTGAAATCGCAGCAAGGGAGTGAAGTTGACGAAAACCTCCAATTAAGAAATTGCCTGCAAGACAGTCGTCTGCTTGCCTATTTACGATTCCACCTTGGGTTCCCGATTAGAATTCTTCCTACACAATTTATTCTCTGTGGTTAAATCTTCGGCTGCCATGGCAATTATCCATACGAAGGTTCCATTAGCAAGTAGTATTTATGGGGATATGTAGATAGATCAGATATCTGTTCCACAAAGTTATTCTTTCCATTCCAGACCTATCCCTTGAATAAAGGTAGAAGTGCAAGTAAGGGAGGTGGTTGTGATTTCGATTGAGGAGGAGGAGGCTGTTGGATGGAGTTGATGCAAGGTCAGGTTGTCGAGACAGAGATAGCAATTTGGCAAGTTTTTGAGAGTTTGACGTTCCGTTAAGAAAAGGGGATGACAAATATATACGTGGAATGTTCTCTGGATATAGACTAATTTGAGGGGATGTAGGGGCAGTGGACTTTGTAGGTGGCCGTGGCATGATAGTTTCATGTGAGGTATAGAGTAAGCTTATTGTCAGCTAGTAGCCACCTACATCATAATGTGGGTAGCTGCTGGCTGTATACCTTCAATTATCATCTTTGGAAGTGTAACCAACTCGCAACCTAAATCTTAATATGATGCAACAGTCTCTCATCGAAACCATTTTCCAACTCCTGTTCCCTTCCTCGCTGCAGCATCCGCCGCTTCCTTCGCTTCCCTTCTCGCCTTCTGCATTTTCAGAATCTTCAGCACGAAATCTTTCCCCATCTTCTCCAATTGCTCTTTGTTTAGCAACCCCTTACTCCCATCCAGCGCGGTATCCGGGTCTGCCGTCAGCTTTTTCACCCTTGCTTTGGGACGAGGCTCCATTATCCCTGCATTGAAACTCAGTGTCTCTGCTTTTGCCACTAGCCACTCTGCATTCCTCATCCCTTTAGACCAGTGCAACGGTAGCCTCGAATAGCCCACCCAAGACCCGACCAGCGCTCCTGCAACGCAGGCGTTGGTATCCGCATCGCCTCCCTGCATAATCAGGTTCGAAATGAGCGTCTCAAAAAGCCCTGTCGATCTTGTGTCAAGCCCAAGCCCTTCTCTAGTGGCAAACCGCAGCGTCAGAACTGCAGAACTAAGGCACTTCAAAACATATCCCATCGTCTTGTCGTCCAGCTCCAATTCTCTCAGCGTCTTCGCATAGCAATACTTCCTATACTCCTCTCCCTTTAATGTGGATTCCACTACTTCAAGACCTTCTATCATAACCGAGTCCTCCTCATTGAGCGACTTCCCTGTCGGATTCTTCAACTCCGCATTCCCATCAACCCATGCAAATGATGCCTCAACAAGATCAAGGTCCATTGCAGCATTCTAGACGCTGTGCGCGACCGGTTACGTTCTTCGTGAGCCGCAAAACTTCATGACGGTGAAGACAACCGTACCAACTTATAAAACTCTCATGACAGGGCAAGGGGTTTTTGTTGCCCAGGAATCTCTGTACGACATAACATAACATTCAGCAGAATGGAGTCGGATGAACGGCAACATCTCTTTCTGGCATTCTTCAGATGCATTCGCATACCCAAGGCCCTATTTTCACGAACTACCCAATACACTTACGAGTGGGGGCACTATCAATCATGGCCCTCCATTGCCACGCTATGAGCCATCATACATATATACGTCCACACCTACTTATCCTGCCCTGTCCTACCCTCTCTACGTCTGCATAAACAACTCAAGCTGCACCGACCCCCCAAGCGCCGTCGTAGCATGGTTAAAAATGCCCCACCTATACCCCATGAAGATCGCCCAATCCGTATTCATCGTATACGCATCCCCCAAATCCACAAAGCTCGTCCCATCAGTACTATACTGGAACGTCACCAACTTCGACCCATCACCACGCGAATCCATGCTCGATCTCAGCCAGATCCTTCCGTTCTCCACTGCGGCGGTCTCAACAGTCGTGCCGGTGCTCACCGTACTCCAATCGGTGCTGTTCTGTGTGAGGCCCTCCTGTATGACGACGCTGTAGGAGTCCCCTGAGCGCACGACGCCGATGTAGGCGGTCCAGTCGCGGAAGGCGGCGAGTCCGCAGCGTCGCCGTCGGCCATGTTGCTGAAATCTAGGACGATGGTGGCGACGGGCTGCTCGCCGTTGGCGCGGTGCGTCAGCGTGTTGCGAGCCTTCTATAGGTCGTTGGTCACGGTTGCGGCGGAGAGGGTGACGCCATTGTCGACGGAGTATTTGCGGGTGTCGTGGTTGTGATTCCACTCCCATTTTGGGCCAAGCGATGTGCCATTGAAGGAATCGGTTCATGTCCATGATGGTGTTTCGACGGTCGGTAGGGGGGCGGGATAGGTGGCGCCCCATTTGCCATCGACTGTATTTAGGATTGGAAGGTCGTCGTCGCCCCATGTGATAGGAGCGAGGACGGGGATGCGGTCATTGGGATAACCCCATGTGAACGACATAAAGTACCAATCATCAGGGGAAGCCTCATTCAGGCTGCCTTGGTGAGGAGTACCGCCTCCAGAAAGTAGACCGGGGGTGTTAGCTTCCAGGAGCTTATAAGTCCAAGGTCCCCAGGGGCTCGTCGATTTCCAAATGAAATGAACGTGGATTGGGTACCTCCGTCGTCGTTCAGAATGTAATAGATGCCGTTCCTCTTGTACATGCGGTTGCCCTTCGATGCCTTGGGCTTCTGTGGGATAGTGGAAGAGTTGTCCTAACCTCAGAGAGGCCATCCGCGGACAGTTGGGCCATGTTAGCATTGGTATTCCCATGCACGACGTACATTGTATCATCGTCGTCGATGTGGAGGCCACAGTCGTAGTAGCACGTTAGTATTTCAGCCGAATGCGTCCAAGGCCCAGATGCTGAAGATGCGGTATAGACAAACGAATGGTAAAAGTTTAACACATCCTATCCAGTACCACGTCTTATCGCTCTCCTGTACCGCATGGTCGACGCCCACGTACCGCCGCGGTACGCCACACCGCCATTCAGGTTGTAGTTGTAGCCAAAATTCAGCGTCGGCACCGAGTGCCCGATCATCTCGCAGTTGACAAGATCAGCTGAGCGCAGAATAGGTGCTCCAGGAAAAAAATGCATATTAGAGGCAGAGAAGTAGAAGAGGCCATCTGGCCCCTTGGAGACATCATTGTCTGCGAAGTCTTCATAAACGACTGGGTTTGTGAACGTATCGGCTCGAACAGCTGTGTTCGAGACCGCTGACTCCAGCGACGAAAGGGCCACAACAAGAGGAATGGAATGCATGATGACAAGCACACTACAGTGCAAATGAAAAAAGGGTGCTCCCACCAACCTTTTAAGCTGTTCAAATAATGAGATTGGTACTCACCACAGCGGCCACCAGACCGCAATTAATAACAAATTTTGCGTGTAAATGCATAGGACCGACGAGGCCACATGCAAATTGCAAACCTCGTGTCCGGAGATACAATTCTTCCGTCAATAGCCCTTCGATATAGATATATAGCGCTTGCTTCCCCACCGGGAATTAATAAGGGCAAAAACTCGATATACCTAGTAAACTGGTAAGAAAACTCCATCTACCCAGTCGGCCGCTAACCCTCCTTTGGAAAGGTTAACGAGCCAATGAGAGGCGTACTCTCATTTGAGAGTACGTGCTCTCATATGGCCTTTTTGAAGCAATTGAGCTAGCAATATCCAGGCGGTGGTTTGAGAACCAACGATTATATGGAGTTTTTGCCCATTTATAAAAGCGACGTCGGGTCAATTGTCGGAGAAGCATCCTGGTTGGCGTGCCTTGGCAGCGGAGATATGGCCCGCTTCAATGAGATTTGTGGGGAAATTTCAAGGATCCACATTTGAGGGGCATCAACGTCGCTCCTGGATTGTATTGGGCTTCATAGAGCTTCCCCTTTGATAACACCAGATATGTTCACGTTGGGGATGAAAACGCAGAGGAGGCTTTGCTTGACCAAGCTCGAAACTCACATTCCTGCGGTGACTGCCAAATCAGTCCCTCGACCTCGACATCAGCTAATCATCACCAGTATTGAATATGAATCAAAACATATTGCACGAACATTTCGGGACAAGATATTAATGAAGCAAAGTTCAGATTCGGGTTCTATGCTCTGTATGCCATACATATCACTCCGATAATTGTCCTCCCATTAAAATGCCCGAGAGTCGCATTTAAGTCTCTTGGCTCAGGATGTCAGAGTCACCTGGGTCGAGGACAACCATGGTGCCGCAGCGGAAGAGCTTTCCGCACGCCGTCCCGAGCTCGATCTGCACGACAGTTAGCTCATGTGCCCTCCAAAGCTTGTTTTGAAGCTTCTTCTCATGGCTTGGGGGGTGACAATTGCGAGCCCCAGGGAGTCGGCCATCACCAGGGGCAATCATTGCCTGGAGGTTGACGATTGCGAACCCCAGGGGGTCTGTCGTCACCAAGGGCGATCATAGCGCGTCTTCGCGATCACCTCAAAGGAGGGGATTGAAAATATCGAATGCGCGTGTTGGGGTTGTAAAGGTTATAAACGTACGTTGTTTCCACTGAAGTGGTGGACAGGGCACTTGGAAAGCATGGCGTAGTCTATTACAGTCAGTTACGGACCCCATTATGATGTAGAAGCGGCACTCACACTCGAGCTCAGACTTTCGGATAGGAGGGCAATTTCCAGCGATGATGACGAGCTTAGCCTTGCCCGACCGAAGTGATTTGAGCGTGGACTTGAATCCGAGGGTGACCTTGCCCGACTTGATGACGAGGGCGAGGCGGGAATTAATCGTATCAGACGTCTTCTTGGACTTGCGTGGAGGCATCTTGTCTGCTGGATTGCCGGATGCTGGGAGAAGAAGTTGGTGTTGTTTGTTGGCTGTTTGCTATGTGTGGGTTTGGGGCAAGGACGAGTCGAAGGGCTTCCACGTGACTATCAGGCGATTATTATGGTGCCACCCAAAAGCTTGAAGAGAGGCTGTAGACAACAATAGCCATTACAGACACTATAATTGAAGTAAAGGCGTTCAATCACTCAGGTCTACAACTTGTAAGCTGGTTACTGACAATTGGAACTGACGAGATAAGTTATATGGGTTTAAATTGTTGGAATTAATCCTGGGCTATACACAGTCCCTCATCAGACTTTGGGCGACAACAGTACTCTGATGCAGTCTGGTAAATCATTGTGGGCATCTAGATGCGCTAGTTCCACGGACTTATACACAAGCTATAATTATTTGTCATAGGTTAATAATTTTGAAAACATATGTGCTGAATCGAATATGTTTCATTGCCGACCTGAAGTTTACAGAGTTTGGACAATATCACTTTAAATTGAGAAAGGCAAAAGACAAAAGGCATATTTATGAGGTAGAGCGCCTATTACGTATCACATTACCTCTACTCTAGCCAAATACTGCATCAGAAACAATGGCAATCATAGGAGCCAACATCTTACCCCATGGTCGCAAAACAGCAGTGTTCGGCACGGATCGTGTATAACCTGAGCTGATTCGGATACTGATCCGGATATATCCTATCCGCCATAATTATGATCTATCCGTACGATCTGAGGATATATCCGGATCTTACGGATAATGCCAAGAATAGCCAAGAGTAGCCAAGGCCACATAATAGACGTAGAATTGATTCTGTAATACTGGTTCAAATACCATCGTAATGTGACGATTACAGTAAAAATGAGCGACTTGAAATTATCAGATTTGCCATCAGATCATGAGAGCTATTCTCAAATAGAAGAGCTATCGTTACCACATCTTCCACCTCAACCTACCCCTATTCAGCCTTCAGTTGAAGCAGTTGACGTATCGATTAATCTACCTCAACATCCAAGGGTAGTACTACCACCGACATCGTCGAAGCTCTTCACAAAGGGCTTATATCGTCAGGAATTACTTGATACTCGGCCTCCAACCATAAAAATGATATGCCTACAACCAGGCTGTGGATATTCACTACCGCCACAAGGATTAAAGCAATCGTCGACCGGTAATCTATGGAGGCATTATTCCTTAAAGCATCTAACAGTATCATACACCCTTAAAAATGAGAAGAGACAGCCGTCTAGTGCGTCAAGCAGTACATCATCGTTCTTCAACCCACGCCCATCAGCTTTACTAAAGCAACCTAATAATCCTTCAAAGTATAAGGAGTTATTACTACAGTTCATTGTGTTGAATAATCTATTGATACGCCTTGTTAAAAGCTATTCATTCTGTGAATTAGTTCAATTCTTAAGCCCAACAACTATGGCAATATCAGCTCGTACGCTACACCGAGAACTACAGCGTCAGTTCTCATATCACCGAGGCCAGCTACAACTTGAGCTCCATTCTCATATTAAGAGAGGAGGCCGGATATCAATAACGACAGATGCATGGTCTGCACAGAATTATACAGACTATGTTGCGATTACTGCATACTGGATCAACGATAAATGGCAACAGAAATCTAAAGTACTTGACGTTGTACATCTTCAAGAGCCTATCCATAGCGGCGAATATCTAGCTCAACAATTAGCAATTGTAACGGGCGATATGGGTATTACAGGAGCTGTCTTTACCTGTACAAGGGATAACGCCTCAGCTAATACTGTTATGCTTGCGGAATATGAGAAAATAGCCAGAGACCAGGAAGTTACAACACAACAACCTTGGACGTTTAGAGTCAAGGAAGGAGATGTACGATGCATAGCCCATATTATCAATATTGCTGTTCAAGATGCTCTTAGACTTTAAAAGCAGCCCCTGCTGAGCAGGTTGAGAGTTATCAGTGTGAGCAGGGAGCTGCGCGGATTCCAGTAAGCTTCGATAGTAATATTGAAGTTAAGAATACTCTTGGTAAGCTACGAAGACATATCTATGTATTCAGAAATCGAAGGCAATGGAAAGATGCTCTTCAAAAGCAGACTATAGCAGCTAGTCTTAAGAAGCTACAACTATCACTCGATATGCCAGTCCGGTGGAAATCAACGTACGAAATGGTTTCAACAACTATTAAGCTACAGACGCCAATTACAGCGATCTGTGCTACTCAGAAAATGGATCTAAGTATCAGAGGTATCGCTCTTACACCAGAGGATTGGATAAAGCTCCACGCTCTTCAGAATTTCTTCTTTATATTTGTTAAGCCGTCGCAAAAGCTACAAGCAAGCTTATATCCAACGCTCAACTTCACAATTCCTCAGTATCTAAAGATGATAAAGAAGCTTGAGGCTTTACAGAAGGAAGTTGGTATATCATCAACGATCGGCCTAGCTTGTATCGCTGCTCATAAGAAGCTTAATGAGTACTATACGCTTGCTACGAATCAACGATGGAGTCATTCAGGGGTAGCTACAATTTTCGATCCACGTATGAATCTTAACAGTCTTTGGCCAAGCAGTACTGAAGAAGTCAAACGGAATAGGGTTAAGCAGCAGTTCCACGACGTCTTTATTCAATATAGAGACTGCCAATACTATCTTGAAGAAGAGAAAAGGGAAGCTGAGGCTGATTTACCACAATTATCTACAGAACCTGACTCCGACGACGATTTATATCTCTCTCATAGTATTTACCAAGAACCAGAATGGAAGAGCTGGCTTGTTGAGCCCCGGCCAGGTCCAGCAACAGATATCCTCAAATATTGGGCGGCAAAGCAATATCAATATCTAATTATAGCTGCAATTGCTCGAGACCATTTGGCAATTCCTGCAACATCAGCTCCATCAGAACGGGTCTTTAGTAATGGAGCTGATATTCTTACGAAGAAAAGGAACAGGCTCTCTCCTGAAACGCTTCGATATTTACTCTGTTTACGAGATTGGGGTCATATACTAGAGGTTGAAGAAAGTGAAGCCGAAGACGCTGATGACGAGGGGGAAGAGTAGTTATATAAGTTATTTTATCTATTCTATTTTTATATTTTAAACCTCATTTTCCTGAAGATCCGGATATAACCCGTATCTATCCGTCAGACCTCAGACGGATCATGATCTTACCCGTGAGGGCTCAGGATCAGATCCGGATACGATCCGCCGAACACTGCAAAACAGAGATGCACATGAAAATAAACCCATTATTCAGCTCGTAACATCCCATCAACCTCTCAACAATTTCTTTCCCTGCTCCAGGGCCAGGATCTCCTCCTTCAGCTCCTGTCGCTCTCTTTTGGTGACCAAATCTTCTCCGGCGATCTCGTCCAACTGCTCGGCCGTCATGGAGGAGATGAACAGCGGCGTGAGGATCTTCAGCGGGCTCTCATCGCTGGTGAGAAGATAATAGTCTGCGCCTTGTGCCACAACCGTGTCAATGAAGCGCTTCATCACCACCTTGTAGTAGGCATTCAAAACGGTGTGAATGTCATCGACTGCGTGTTCCAGATTGCCTTGGGAAAGAGCACTAGTCATACCGGAAACCGGGACTGCTGTGACATAGTGGGAGGCGCCTTCTGCATCCTGTCGCTTCGCACGGAATTCATGTTGCTTCATAGCTTTGATGAGACGCTCATTTCGCATCTTACTGAGCGTGTCTCCGAAGTAGTGATTCTTCGTGAGCAGGGTGCCGTGGCGCTCGACTCGCAAAATAAATTCGACGTGTTTAATGGCCGCGCTGTACTTGTCAAGGAGATCATCCATGATGAATGAGATAAGTCCGTTTCGAACCTTACTATCTGGGCAGACGTGATTCAGGAGCCGACAGATGAAGTCATGTACGTAGACGATAATGTCGTTCATGAACGAAAGCGTGATCCCTTTCCAATTGGATGATTGCTCCTGCCAGAGCATTGGCAATATATTAGGATCCATCACCGCGAGGCCATAGCCTCTAGCTTTGCGATACTCGGTTTCAATCCATGCCAGAATATCACACCGCTTCGTAAGTGATACATACAAATCCTGCTGGAGAATATCCAAAAGTTCTGGGTATTCGGAGCTCTTGGGATCCAATCCCACTTTGTAGCCAGACTCAGCCTCACCATCAGATTCATCGTTGGCATCGGATTCATCGTCTTCGTCAGATCTATTCTCGGCTGATGCCAATGCCGGTTTTGTGTCTTTCGTGTCTGTTGTGGTAACCGCTTCAGCACTCGCATCCCCTTTGAACTCAACTGAGTGGCCCTTGCTCCCAATATCTTCCGCAAAACGATCGCTGCGATCGACGACAAGAGTTGGCAATCGGAGGTTATGATCTTCCCCGAATATCTCATGACGACAATAGTTGGCACTGAGAGCATCGTTCGTAATTCTCTCAAACTGGGCGGCAATGCCCTCAAGATAATGTCTCTGCTGCTCAGATGACTCACGGTCGGCGCCCATTGCATAAAGATTCTTCTTGCAGAGTATAAGGCGCTGCTCGATCTGTCTCTTGATCTTTGGGAACTCTCTCTGGACGATCTCAGAAAGTAGGTCCTGGAGACGACTCTTCAGCGCATCAACACCAACCCGATCCTTGGGAAGTGATGACCACGGATCAGTACTAAAGAAACTACGCTCTTTGCGCGTACGAGAGTCAGAATCAGTATCAAGCTCCTTCTGGGAGCGGTTGCGAACAATGCAATATCCGAGCTTGAGCTTGTTGCGCTTTCCCATTACAAGGTCGATGACTTGGTGCTCCGCGCCGTCGTCAACAAGGTCGGGCTTTGTCAATCTGTATATCTATCAGCTGCTGAAGTTCTATTGAAGAGATATATAACTCACACGCCCAAAGTCCGAAGACCCTTTGGATCAGCCTTCTCAGCCATGGTCAAAATCTCCTGGGTGGCAATATCGACATTCGCAGAAACGACAGCCAAAATGATGGTCCTCTCATCTTGAATCCAACTGCTGACCATGTTTTTTACAAGGTCAATGTCGTCCTTGGTGGTAACACCATCAGTCGCGGTTCTGAAAATCCCAGGAATGTCGATAATGCTCAAATTCTCGCGGTCTGGGCCGCTGAGTTCAATCTTGAAGACGTCTGCACTGAAAGTTGATTTTGCAGCACTTGGGGACTCGCCTGGTCCAGTAACCCCCATGACTTGACAAACCTATCAATCCTTAGCAAGCTACTGCGGGCAATGAAGTCAAATACGTACATCTTTCAAGATCGATAGGAAGGTCTGACCGTCAAGAGTAGTCAACCCAGTCTTCTTGAATGCCTTCAGTTCCTCCGCCTTCTCGGGAGATCGGGTAGGGCCAGGGATGATCGAAACAGCAATGCTCGTCTGAGGCGACCTCCGAAACGTGATATTCGTAGCAAATCGTGTGCAGAGCCCACTGTCGCGAGGAAGAGGCAGCTCCATCACTGCTTCCAACACCGAACTCTTCCCGCTGGATTGATCACCAACGACAACAAGCTGTGGGAGTGCAACGAACTTGGCAACCCCCAGCTCGCGAAGCTTGTCGATTTTGTCCAGCTGAGCTGGGTTCGAGAGCTGGATATTGAGTGACTTTGACAACTCCATCTTTGCTTTTGCGGATATAAAGCCGTTCATGGTGGAGTAATCGTCAGCGATCATGACAACGGGTGGTTGTTGTGGTGAAACACACAAGGTGTGTTGGCGTTGGATAAGAGAAGAAAGTGGGCGTCGGAAATCAAATTAGATTAGGGCTTTGTATCTGAGGAACTCGGTGATCTGAGGGAAACCGAGAGACTGAAATAAGCTGATAATCTCTGGAATTGGGGAGCAAACTGTGGGAGCTTGATGTGACTCTTATTGAAGCCAAACTACCTCGCTGATAAACAAAACTTCGCCTTTCAGCCGATGGGGAGTTCACACTATTTATTATAAATTTTTCTAACTTACTTCTCTGACCTCAGCCTCGAAGTCGCAAAGACCTTGCAGGAGTTTCCAGGTACAGTGGGCCTCCGGCATGCTACGCCAACAGCGGGGGGGATCGAGGACGAGTAAAATCACAAAGTTCATACAAGCATCCTCACCGCTACCTAAAGTCATGCTAAAGGGCAGATTTTGTAAACCGTCGAAACGAATATGCCTCGCTGAATGGGTGATTGCATGGCATGAAATGCTTCTCTGTTGTGGCTGGCGGGGCTCAGCCATCCAACCAACGGACCCAATTCACGGCCAGGCGTAACAGAGCAAACAAGGCTGGAGCTTTCCGCCATAATTTATGGGCGGATAGGTTCTCCTATTGATTATTACCGCCTCTTGCATGTAAATATCTCCTACGTGGTGCCGGTTTCCCGTTAGTGTTCAACATACTGCATAAATGTTACATGTCCGTTTGTTCGTTGGAAATCAGGTACAGTTACTCCAGATTTGAAGCTCTCAAAATTTGTAACGCTACAAGTAATAGAAATTCTGATAAAAAAAAAGGGGCGTATAAATAGAGATATTCATATTCACATACACGTAAATACGACGAGTTATCAAACGTCTACTCACTGTTCCTGCGTCCAAGAATATGACAATCATTTTGTATGACAAAGTGTCACGAGCAACATCACCTGCGGACTCCAATCACGTGCAGACTCCAATCATATGCTGTCGAGTCATAAATGTATATATTCCTAACTACCTTACCGGCGGAGGCCCATTTTTTTACATGGTTGTGACAGACTGTAATAGGGTGCCAGAAGAAATTTATATGGGGCATATGTGGGCTGAGTAAGACACCTAAACAAGTCCAGGACTAGTTGCCCGATAAAAACTCTCCACAACGACACAATCCGACACTATGATAGGTCTTTCGAGCGAGCTTAGCGACACCAAATATAACCAGTAAATGAAACTAATAATCGGGTTTTGAAGGACATAGTAATGAAATAGTCTGAACTGTGATAATAACGGACGAGTATAATATAGACTCGGATTTGTATTAGACTCTTATGATACTATTATATTACTAATTTGACAGTAGACACATTTTCGGAGAGTTCTAGGAGATAATTGATTTCATTTCCCCTATTTACTATATTCTAATAACGTGCATGTATAACGAAAGTGCCAAACAAGCGAAAGTGCCAAAATATCGCGACTACCCCATAAGAATTGCGATAAATCCACCACAACAATATAAATTAATTAAAACTACTCGGAGTCCTCTTCCTCAGACCTGTCTATTACAATCTGACAAGTGCGCGCATTGTGTCCAGTCTCACCACACTTGCCACAGCGACGTGCATGGGTTTCTTCCCTTGGCTTCCGACCACTACTTGCCCTTATTTCTTGCTCTACTTGCTGCACAACGTCCCTCTCGTCCTGTAGCTCCTGTGCTACCTGTTGACTAAGTGATCCTCCTTGCTGTAGTCATGTTTTTTTAGCTCTCCGGCGCTTGCTTAGCACTTCATTTGCCTGTCGCAGGTTTTGGTTCTCTGCTTTTAACAATGCTAATTGATGCATTATTTGCGATGCACCCTTTGTAAACTGGTCAACAGCTGCATAGATTGAGGTTGGAGAGCTATTTTGATGATGCGCAATTCCGTTTTTAATGAAAGTAGACTGTGATAAAGCTTCAGTTGGGTTATTTGGTGTCTGAGAAACCCATGGTTGAGCGGTGTTTGGGCGAGAGGTTGGAGGTGTTGGCGTCTTAAACCTAAGGTCAAGTGTAGATATTACACTCTCAGGGCTAAATGGAAGAAGCCCAGCACCTCGGAACCCTCCCTGAATATTGCTTTCTGTCATTGCAATGTTAAATGCAGCGTGGAAGGCAGGAAAGAAGTCATCCTTAGTAATGTGGATAATATGAGCCCGCATCATATCTTCAATTTGCCGACCGTAAGCTCTCTTTAATGGGCCAAAACAGCCAACATCAAGTGGTTGGAGTATATGGGAAGAGTGAGCAGGCATACAAAGCGTAATAATGTTGTGTTCTTTGCAGTACTCCTCAAACTTGTCTGAGTGGTTACTTCGATTAATACAATCAACAAAAGGCTTCTGTATTAGTTTTCTATGAGCTTATAGTGTTACGATTATAGCTTACAGTTGTTATGGTTGTTATGGTTGTTATGGTTGTTATGGTTGTTATGGTTGTTATGGTTGTTATGGTTGTTATGGTTGTTATGGTTGTTATGGTTGTTATGGTTGTTATGGTTGTTATGGTTGTTATGGTTGTTATGGTTGTTATGGTTGTTATGGTTGTTATGGTTGTTATGGTTGTTATGGTTGTTATGGTTGTTATGGTTGTTATGGTTGTTATGGTTGTTACGGGTGCAGCCTTAGCCACCAAGGCTACAACCGCTAAACGGACAACTGTATATTACGAGGAATAGCCTCACCTTCCTTCCTTCTTCTTCTTCTTCTCTCTTTAGATTCAATCTAGCTTATTTTTCTCCGGACTGGCTTCTTGACCTCTGTGACCATCGTAACATAAGATTGAATCTCACCTTTCTTTTGCTCTCTGGGCCTGAACCTTGATACTGAAATTTGAATTCCCTTCTTTGGAAACTCTACAACCATATCCTAAAGTCGATTCCAGAACACCACAGAACATACCAGAAACACCAGAACACCACAGACTTCATAGATCAGACCTTTCACAATGCTCCCTTGAAAAGGAATATAGCTGTGAGGAAAGTGCGCTCCTCTCGAGTGGCTCCTACAGTCGACAAACTGCGCAATAGGGCCTTTGGCGATACGAGTCTGATCTACTGAATACTAAAACCGAAAGAATAGGAAAGCTGCTATGGCACACACAGCCAAAGAAAAACAAGATGGCTGACCGAAACCCAGAAGACTATGAGTCTATAAATGAGAAAACAACCTTGGCAGATGAGTCTGAGAAGAGAGATGAACTTCAAGATGACTTCCTCGAAGCCCAAGAAGATTTCAAGAGGATGGGCAAAACAGCTCAAGAAAGATACCAGTCTATACTATCAAACGGCCACCAGATGAGGAATTGGAATGTCAACACCTACACTGAATTCCAAAAGCTGTCACCTAGCAGCCAAGAGTACGCCTCGTCAATGTTGAAAGCCATTATGAAGGACTACCTCATAGTCGATCAAGCTTCTGATGCTACTATTGCAGAGCGAAATGATGCTATTCTACAGCTCCAAGAATAAATTCAAGACAAGGATGAAAAGATTACTGAACTGCAAGGCATTCAAAAATATCTTGAGAATACAGCTCCTATTCGCAATGCAGCATCTCGCCAGTCTTCTCACATTCCGGATCCTCCTATTCTTACGGATGGGATTGAACCAGCTTTTGAAGACTGGGTTGTGAAGATCCGACTCAAGCTGGAAGCCAACATCGACCACTTCCAAAATGACAAGATGCAGATGAGTTATCTCCAAAGCAGACTAGGAGGACTCGCAGTTCGCCATGTGAACCCAAGGCTTCACATTACCTCACCAAACATGCTTCAGTCAGCAGAAGAAATCCTCCAACTCCTCGAGAAAGTGTTTAGCGACCCTAATAGGAGACACACTGCACAAACTGAGTCGCAAGTTATACCAAGGCAAGAATACCTTCACAACATTCTGGGCTGAATTCCAGAGACTCACTGCAGAGCTGGACTACTCAGAAGAGACCTTGCTTGACGATCTCTGATTTAAAATCAACCAAGGCATGCAGAAAGCCCTTGTTGCAGAAGTGGGAGCTACCACCCTACATGAATTCGCGAAGAAATGCATGCTTGTGGACCAAAACCTACAGAGAATTCAAGAAAAGGAGAAGAGAATGAAGTCACAGCCGTTCACCTACCAGAAGCAGAGTGGCCAGAGTCCTACTGCTAGTACTGCTGTTGAAATAGTGGCACCACAGAAGAAGCTCTACCGCTCTCCCCACTAAGATCCTGAGAAAGAATCGCTCATGAAGCTTGGCAGATGCTTCCATTGCCACGAAAGCGGCCATCGTGCTCATGACTGCCCTCAGAAACAGAAAGGCAGACTCAATGAGATCTCTGATACTGAGGATCCTACTCAGTATGAGTCGGGAAAAGAATAGCCTCTAGAAAAGACGTCGCTCGAGGTTCTACAGCAAGAATTGCCTCCTCTGCCTCATCATTAACCCATTTCGACTATGACACTCCATTCTTAGCTACCTGCAGAATAGGAAGGAATCAAATTGTCATGCAAGCCTTAATGGATAGCGGTGCAACAGGTGGAAGCTTTGTGAATGCTGTTGATGCAAAACGAATTTGTGAAATTGAGAACATCTCTCCTATCCAACTTATAAAACCAAAGAACATTGAAGGATTTAATGGAGTTGCAGCACCTACAGTTACACATGCTATATACCCTCGACTACAAATTGGAGATCACGTTGAAAGTCTATGCCCTCTATTCATTACTACGCTTGGGAAACATTCTATCATTCTTGGGAAAGCTTGGATGAAGCAGTATGGAGTCACACTCAATATGGTAAATGACCAAGTCATCTTTACAAAGGGTCACTGCCAGCACACTACACCAACAGACACTTTAAAAATGAAAACTACAAGTCCCCAAGCTGAGAAGGAAATACAAGATAAAGAAGCTCCGATGCCAGCCCTCCAACCTCATTATAAGAACAAGAACAAATGCACTGTTACAATGATTGGAGCTGCACCATTCAATATGCTTCGGAAGCAGAAAGGAGCTAAGGTTTTTGCAGTATCATTTAAACATATACTCGCTGAACAAGCAAAGGAGGAAACGAAAGAAATCGACCCAAAACTGATCCTCCCAAAGGAGTTCCATAAATATCTCGATGTGTTCTCAAAACAGGCTGCAGACAAGCTCCCGCCTCACAGATATTCAGACCATCACATTGTGTTAGAAGGGAACTCGAAACTAGGGCATGCAC